ACTTGTTTGTAGTCCAATCCTATAGAATGATTTGGTGCTATAGAATGATTTGGTGCTGGTGGGGGAAATGAATGTCAGAGTGCCAGGGTGTCGAGTACCCATCTCTTCTCCCTTCTCACCATGTATGGCACTTGTGGACAGAGAAGACAGACCCTAGAAGAACTGACACCCTCCAGTTTCCCTCGTTGGCACCCGGCAGGGAACCTGTGCCCAGTGCTCCCAGGCAGCTCCCTCTGTGACCCATAGTCACAGGTGTCCTTGGTTGTATCTCCTTCTCAGAACCTCCTCCATTTTGTCCCTAACAAAACAGCCACTGAGAGGAAAGGGAGAGAAACCTGGTGAGCCCATCTGTGAATTGGGGTCTTCCCAGTACCTTGAGACCCAAAGCAGTGATGTGGTCCCCAATCTGCCCTTGTTCCTGTGACGCTCTCTGAGTTAGGATTCTGTTCTGCAGCCCCTTGGCCTGAAACCAAGGCACTTTCTGACTGAGGGCAGAGAGTTCTTCCTCTGAATAAACTGCCTCCCGTAAAGAAATTGGCTGAATGGTGGAGTTCTGGTTGATGAGTCAGAAAATGCAGCCTCAGCTTGCTGGAACACGGCTTCCTAACTATGTAACCTGGGGCAAGCCACTTAACCTCTCTGAGGGTCAACTTCCTCGACTCCAATAGGGGTGATAACAGCACCTCTGTATTCTTAGGACTGGTTAGGACGTTAAAGGGTACGTGAGCTTGTGCACACAAACTGGCCTTGAGAGCTGCAAAATGTGAGGTGTGACTGCTGAAGGGTGAGAGCTTCCCTCATCCTGTCTGGTGATTTTCAACGCCTAATACGAGATCTTTCCATATTGTCGGCCATATGGAAGGAAACAGCTGCTGGTCCAAGCCAATTTTAGAAACCCGCGTGCGTTTTCTCAAAAGGAAGAGCCGGCTTTCATCACAACGAGGTTGCTGGCACAGGACAGGCACGGCCAGACAGCAGTGCAGAGATAGTCCAGCAGGTGGCAGCAGAGAACCAACTTTTGGTGCTAGGCTGGCTCCTCAGGGGATCCAGGAGACGCTGGGGCGTGGTGGGCTGAGTGGCTGGCAGGATTCTACCATTAAATCTAGAGATGTCAGTTTGGGGGTGGAGGGATGGGGGGGGCACTGAGACGGTGACAACCCTTCAGCTCCATCTACAAAGTTCCTTTCTTTCGGCTCTAGGATCCTCCCCCTTTAGAGGGTTCCTTCCATTTCTGCCTCTTAGTCTGGGCCTGAGTCCCTCCTCTGTCCTCAACTCTAACTTGGGAAACTTGTCCCAAAGGAAAGAAAGCCTTAGTTTCGATCAGCGTTACTTGGGCAATGACTTTCCTCTCTCCCTCTCAATGCCAGGCTTGTTTTGAACATACGATCTCGCCTACATCTCTATCTCCTACCTTAATGTTCAGCTCACTCACTGGAGGCAAACTCCAAGCTCTCCAGATTCAATAATCATCCAGGCAACAAATGTAGTTCCCACAAGCTCATTAGCTAATATGTTTGGAGCAGGTGAGTGCTGTTTCCAGCTGCCAAATAGAAACCTGTTCGATGAAGTACTTACTAAGTCTCTTCTGTGTCAAGGATGATCTCTCATAGCCTAGTCTCGTGGGGACATGATTTCACTGCACACATATTGAGTCATGTTGAAATGGGTCCTACCGTTAAGTTTTATGAGGTCTGAAGTCTTTCTTGGCTGGGCGTGGAAAAGGTGACTGGGGAGAGAGAGGGAAGTAGCTGTTTGCAAGGGAGAAACCCCACCCTTTTCCAGTGAGTGTGTGTGTGTGTGTGTGTGTGTGTGAGAGAGAGAGAGAGAGAGAGAGAGAGAGAGAGAGAGAGGTAGCACCCATGTGTGAACTGGTGGATCCCAGTAATGGGGAAAAGGAGAGCAAACGGGACCAGGCCCAAAGGGCTGTCTGAGGCTCTGAAGCCAGATCTGTGGCAAGAGGTCAAAGTCAGGGCTATGGCCACATAAAGAGATGGCCACCTGTGAGTCTGCCACACCTGGGAAACCAGAAAAGGGAAAAAGGAATAAGTCCAGTGACTTTGGACCTCTCATGGTCTCATCACATTGTTATTCAAACTTCTTACCGCATATCAAAGCCAATCTTCAAAAACCTCGGGAACTCTGTGGAGTGCTGAGAATACTAAAGTCTCCAGCAAAAGGGAGTTGTGGCCTACTTAGAATGATCCAAGGTGTGTGTGTGTGTGGTGGGGTGTGTGGGTGGGTGGAGGCCTCCAGAGCCCTAAACTCTGGCATCTAGTATCCACAAGGAACAGGAGTCCCACACCTACCACTAAATGTGAGCACTGGGCCCTGCAGTCTGCAATCCCTCAGCCGGCAGAATGAGGGGCAGCATGCACACAGACTGGAGCATGGCTGCAAACCTCTTGTAGTCTCACAAGGCAGGGGAAGCTTCATATCTTCTCTCTCACTGTGAATATTTCACTGTTTCCATCTCTTTCTTGGAAGTGGGAATGTTCCAGATTTGAAAGAATATGTAAAATGAAGAGGGCATCTACAGAGCACATTATTTTGCCCAGAGTCTATTAAAAAAAAAAAAAGCAGGTAGCAGATCTGGACAGCCTCAGTCATAAGTGTGATGTGATAAGCAAATCCTCTCTGTCACTCTCATTGAACTTTTATGCTCAGTGGGTGTGTTATCTGTGTCCCCAGGCTTAGGACAAGAATTTTCACTGGTGATTTAAGTATGGTGGCTCTGAGGCCCTGGACAATCAAAGCATGGCGGGGTGCCTCCACCTCTGGCTTGGATCAATACCTAAACCTTTAACTTAGACCCCTTCTTTCAATCCTAAATCCCTGTAAACCACATGTGACATCATAAAACGATCCTTCTATGTCCCTGTGCATTCCCAGGATAGTGAAGTAGTTTGGCTGTGTCTACCCAGGAAGGTAGAAGGGGGAGTCCTATGCATTAAAGACAGTCATCAGAATTGATCAGAGACCCCTACCATGGTGGCATCTTCCCCCACTCTCCCCCCCCAAAAAAAAACCTGTTTAACTTTCAAGTATAAAGAACTCTCTCCGTTGCTCTAATTGTCCATTTGTAATTGGTTCCTGTAGCTATGCGGTCTCAGATGAAATAATCTTTACAAATGAGCTTCCTCCAAAGACAGCGCAGCCACGTTTAAGCTCAAGTTCATTTATTTGGTTTGCTCCGGGCCTCGGCACTTCTGCTGGAGCTTGGAGCTTTGGGGCTACCAGGCCCGGGGAGCCCTCGCCTCTGCCCCAGCCTCTGAGCCTCCGCGCCAGGCCCAATTGCTCGTGGGCCAGCTCATTTCGCCACAGCTCGGAGCCCTTCGGGAAGCAAAGATTAAAGGGGAAAGTCGCAGCTGTATATTTATATTTTCATTGCTAGAAGGGAATTGATTTCCGTGCATTTATTTTGGTAGTTGTAATACACAAGGGCGGATTTGCGTCACCCGAGCAACTTGTCGGTGGAGATAAAGTTGCACAAATATTAAAAGGGGAAGTGCTAGGAGTCATTATAGAGTTTTTCTCCGGAAGAAATAAGGATTTCTGCAGTATCCTAAAATACTAAGGCCGCTTCTATTTTGAGACCAATCTCGCAGGCACATCCGCTCATTTGCTCAGAGTTTGAGTCCATCAAAAAAACAGGAGATGACCTGAACTCCGGCGAGCTCAGGGTTTCCTGCTGCTTTCTTGGTTCAGAGGGGTGGAGAGTAAGGAGGAGGGGAATCTGCGGCCTCCGAAGAGGGCTGGGGGCCGGTGGAGACGGGGCCTGGGGAAGGAGTGTGTGTGTGTGTGTGTGTGTGTGTGTGTGTGTGTGTGTGTGTGTGTGTGTGTGTTGAGGGGGCAGTCCGGGGGCAGAGGGCCGTTTCAAAGGTTCCCCTTTTCGCGGTCCCCCACCCCCACCCCCGAGCTCCGGATAGGCTAGGGTGGCGCTGATGCGGCTGCAAGGAAGCCGAGGGCCTGGGAGGCCCGAGGGGCGCGCGGGCCGAGGTGCAATTTACAGCTGAGCCGCGGACCTTGCGCGGAAAGAGGGGAGTCGGTGGGGAAACCCGACTTCCCGGCCTCGCCTTGGCCCAACCTCCCCTGTGCACCTGGCCTTTAAGTGCTGCGGGCGCGGGTCGTGGCTGCCGCGGGAAACCCGGAGGGCCCACATTTCTCCCCAGTCTGCCCCGCGCAACCACCCCCGAGGGCAGCGTCTTATTTGGGGGTAGGCGGCCTGGGGTGGGCCCTAAATGCATCTCTTAGAAAGGAGGGTTTAGGCGCAGGCCGCGGTTGGAATGTTGGCTGTCTCGTTGGAATTGAAACCGAACTGGAAGCGACCCTAGAGAAGAGCGACACGCACTCGTCCTAGTGACTTCCCTGAGGTCTGTGAAGTTGCGGAGGCCGCGCCCTGCCACGGGACCCTCGTCAGCATCCTCAGCCTCTGCTCACAACGCGTTTACTGTTGCCTTCCGAGGAGGGTCTAATGGTCTCAAGTGGCCTTAGGCTTGTCACTCCTCCTCCTCGCACTAGAAACGGAAGGACTGGTCTCCCGGCATCTCCTGCCCCAGGTGCCGGTGCTCTCAGTCCATCACAGTCAGTCGCTGGAAATACCAGCTCTGCGCTGGCTCCAAGGAGCAGGGCAAGAAAACCCTTCAGTAAAAGAGAGACGGAGGAAGAGACAGAGAGACTGGGGACGCGGGGGTGTTCTCAGCTGGCAGGTCGGAGATGATTGATTAGCGATTGATTACATTTCAGGAGAAAGTCAGAGTTTAACATCTGCAAATAGAGGGCCAGACACCATTAGAAATTAATTCAATTAGGCCAAATCCTAAACTCGAAATCGGCATGGCAAATTCAATCGCCTTCCTGGGTTTATTTGGTAAGAAACCTTAGTGCTGAAGTGAAATAAAAAAATGCCACAGAGGATTTATTGCAACTATATTGAGAGGGTTTTTTTTTGGGGGGGGGGAGGGTGAGGAATACCACAGAAGCACAGCTGCTCTGTTAAGAGATGCTTATTAGGATAATCGAAAACAAAAGATTTTGTGGTTTCATTATTGTTATTATTTTATTTTCTTCCTGAAAATGTGCAAGAAGAGCTCATTTGGGTGGCCTGTGGTTTGTTTGGGAGAGGGGTGGGGAAATCCATTCTTACTATAATTTAAAAGAGAACGGGATTCTTAAAATAGAGATGTTGATGTTGCGGAAAACCCCCCACAGCACCCACCCTGCGCCCCAAAAACCCAAAGTGCGAAAGGAACAGGCAGGCGGCCCCTGCAGCTTCTCCGGAGACCAGGCCCCAGGGGTTCCTAGGGAAGCAGTCGATGCATTGAAAGTAATATTTAACCCCAAGGAAATCTGCTCTTGTGGGCACTTGCAAAACAGCGGAGGCCACGTGATCCGGGGATGTGGCCGAGGAGGGAGGGTGACGTTTCCTACAAGGTGCAGCCGCAGAGGCGACGCGCGTGCCGCCCTCCCGGGTTTCGGTCGGCGGCCTGTTGTGCTGTCTCTGCGGCTCGAGGGAAAGTTTGGCTGCGTCCAAGGCAGACGTTTGGAGCCATTCATCTTATTTTGTTTGAAAAGTTACTCGTTCAAGCTGTCACCGTGTGACAGCTCAAAATAAAGCTAATTTGCGGCCGCTCCTCCTCTCTTCCCGGAGGATCTCAGAGGCGGCGAAGAGGGCGCGGTGCTGAATCGGGTGGGGACCCAGGGCCGCAACATTCGCGCGCGCGAGCTCGGGGCTGGGCAGCGTGGGGCGCGAAAGACGGAGCCTTGGGGAGGACACCGATTTTCGGGATGAAGGTCCGATTTGAAGAAAAACCGGGCCCGAGAGATGTAAAGAGAAAGACACTTCGGAGGCCTCCAGTGCGTTCTGGGAGGCGGGCTTTGTACCCGCCAAAATTATGCGGGATCGTCCGTTTCCCCAGGAGAGTGCGCCAGGGCCTCTGTGACCAACTGTCCACGCCCGGTGCCGGTTCGGCGCTGCAGAAGTGACTGGAAGGTCAGAATTCCCTGGCGCCGCCGAGAGGGACGCTCAGGACCCTGCTCGGCCCACACGGCAGCGGCAAACACTTTGGCGTGGCCGGGGCGTGGCCGAGGGGAGAGCCACGCCCCTCTTTGCCAATTCCCCTTCACTCTCCTCTCCCATTGGTCTCAAGGATGGCCAATCAGAGCTCAGATCGAGGCCCTACCCTGAGTCTGACTCGAAAGCTTCTGCCAAAACTTTGGGAGTTTTTAGAGAGGAGTTTTTTTTTTTCTTATTCCTTTTTTTTTTTTTTAACTAACGGATTATTATTGTTGTTGTTTTAAATTTAGCTCTTAGGGCTTAGCTGTTTGGGTTTTTCTTTCGGTGCCCGGCCCCTGTCTCTCCGGCTTCCCGTGCGTGTGCGGAGCCGCGGCGCCGGCCCGCGAGCCACCGCAGCGCCCTCGCTCGCCTCCAGCCCGCGGGGAACGCGGGTCCCGCGCCGCCTTCAAAGTGAGGTCAGGGCGAGCTGTGATCGGCGGGGATCCGGCCCTCGCCTTCTTCCTCGCTGGCGCTAGGGCTCCCTGGCCTCTTTTCAGGGCGGACGGAGAAACGAAAGAGGATCGTCCTCGGCTGGGCGGCCGCCTCCTCCGGGACTCAGCGCGCCGCTCCCTGCGCCCCTACCCACCCATCCATCCGGCCCGGCCTGGCCAGGCCGCGGAGTCCGCTAGGCGCACCCGGCCAGGATGTTCGCCGCCGGGCTGGCTCCCTTCTACGCCTCCAACTTCAGCCTCTGGTCGGCCGCTTACTGCTCTCCGGCCGGCCCGGGCGGCTGCTCCTTCCCCCTAGACCCAGCTGCGGTCAAGAAACCCTCTTTCTGCATCGCAGACATCCTGCACGCCGGCGTGGGGGAGCCGGGGGCGGCCCCGGAGGGCCTGGCCGGAGCCTCGGCCGCCGCCCTCGCCGCGCACTTGGGCTCAGCTCACCCGCACGCCTCTTTTCAAGCTACCGCCAGGTCCCCGCTCCGACCCACCCCAGTGGTGGCGCCCTCCGAAGTCCCGGCTGGCTTCCCGCAGCGGCTGTCTCCGCTCTCAGCCGCCTACCACCACCATCACCAGCCGCAGCCGCAGCAGCAGCAACTACCGCAGCAGCAACAGCCTCCGCCTCCACCGCGGGCCGGCGCCGTGCAGCCCCCAGTCTCCGGAACACGGGTGGTCCCGAACCCCCACCATAGCGGCTCGGCCCCAGCCCCCTCCAGCAAGGACCTCAAATTTGGAATTGACCGTATTTTGTCTGCAGAATTTGACCCCAAAGTCAAGGAAGGCAACACGCTGAGAGGTAGGTCTGGGGCGAGAGACCGCAGGCCTCTGACGGGGCCCTGGGGCAGTTCGGGTTACCTTTGAGTGTTTTTACAATTAAGGACAAAGTGGTGATAAAAGGAGGGAGAAGAAAATCAATTGTGAGAAGATTATGAAGCACTAGGTTTAAAACCGACCTGATCCTTGTTTAAATTAAAAAAAAAAAAAAGCCCTCCAGGAATGCTTTAAAAACACACTTCACAGAATCGATACTCATGAAAATGGTGGTTGTAAACATTTGCTGAAATGACTATCACCTGTCTGTCTTTAATCACATACCTGGAGAGAGAACTATATTATCTGTCAGGGAAAGCCCTTTTGGGGAACACTTTCCGTTCGTTTATCTGAACCCGAGGAATGTAGAGAAACAAATGAACTCTCAACTCCCAAGGGGAGAGGGCAGCGTGGGGCTCCTTCCGTTGCGTGGTTTAGGTCTGTGGAATTCTTAAAAGGCACCTGAAAGTGACCTCGTTTTAGGTGAAGTCCCTCCCTGCTATCCCAGCTGGGAGGTGGCCGTGTGGGACCTGTTGTGTGTCGCCCCTTGGCCGCAACCGGGAGAGAGGGGTTTAGGGCGGAGACAGGGGTCTCTCCTGACTTTGCTCCAGGAAAACCAAATGGAGGACTCGGGGGAGGGGAGGGACAACTCGGCCCAAAGAGTATGGGTTTGCTGTGAAGTGTAACCGACTCTTTTTTTTTTTTTTTTTGCTTTGTCCCCAGATCTCACATCCCTGCTCACGGGCGGGCGGCCCGCGGGGCTACACCTCCCCAGCCTGCAGACCTCCGCCGGCCAGCTATTCGCGTCTTTAGATCCTATTAACGAGGCTTCTGCCATCCTCAGCCCCTTAAACTCGAACCCGAGAAATTCAGTCCAGCATCAGTTTCAAGACACGTTTCCAGGTGCGGAGCGGGCAGGTTCACAGACAGCAAACTTGGGGCTGACGTCTTCCGTGGCGACAGCGGTGGGGCAACTCGGGAGTTGGGAGTTGGTGCGGGAGGCCACCCAGGTTGGGAGAGAGAAACCGAAAGATTTCTCCGTGAGCGGGCTCCCTCTCTGGCCGGCTCCCGAAGGAAAGGCGTGGGGGCCCGGGGAGCCAAGAACGTGTGTGCGTCGGTGGGTGGGATGGGGTGGGGTGGGGCTTTTTCTGGTCTTTTCTCGGGAGAGGGTCCTTTGAAAATGTGGCCGAGGGAGGTGTTGCTTATTATTGTACACACATTTTGAAATGACCTCAAACCCTTTTGACCCAAGAGATTGTATCTGCCCTGCTTGCAGGGGCAGATGAGAGAGAGAGACAGACAGACAGACAGAAAATGAAGCCAAGGCTGACATCTCTAGATCCTTCAGGCCCCAGGCGACGTTTTCCCCTGCTCTTAGCCTGCCTGATAGCCAAGCATCAGATTTACACTTTTTCCTTTGGAATTAACGAACCAGCCACAGGTCTCAACTCACCACACACTCGCTTTAAGCTGTTTCATTCCCTTCTCAAAAGCTGTAAATTCCTCCCTGGAGGAGGGCTTTGTGAATGCCCCTAGGGCTGACTGTTAAGCAAACTGTTTTTAAGAGCCCCAGGCGGCAGGCTGTGGACCGGGTGCTAACTGGGTCCTCGGGTGTCTCTCTCTTGACCCGACTACACCGCTTCCTCCCCACCCCTCACCAGGCCCCTATGCCGTGCTCACGAAGGACACTATGCCCCAGACGTACAAGAGGAAGCGTTCTTGGTCTCGGGCGGTCTTCTCCAACCTGCAGAGGAAAGGCCTGGAGAAGAGGTTTGAGATTCAGAAGTATGTGACCAAGCCAGATCGAAAGCAGCTGGCCGCGATGCTGGGCCTCACCGATGCACAGGTAAGCCAGCTCCCACCCTAATGCACAACCCCTCCGTGGGCAGCCTGCGCACCCCAGTCCCAAGGACCCCTCCGCGCCGAACCACTCTCCTGCAGTGGAAATACAAGGTCTTGAATTTCGGGAGACTTTGTGGACTTCCCAACTTAAGACAGGAGCGAGGAGGGTGGAGGAGAAGGACGGAAGGAAGGCAAAGCCCACCCCCAAAGATGTGTGTCAACAAGCAATGTCTGTTTATTTTGGCCAACAGGCAAAAGACCCGCTGAGAAAGCAAATAGGCTGTGGGAGGTAATAATTATGTACTCGACTGGAGTGCAATTCGCTGTAGGAAGCAGTTTGTCTCAGAAGAGATAAAAACCCAAAGTCAAGAGATTGTTATTGGCTTTTCTCCCCTCCCATCCTCCCTCCCTCCTCGTCCTCGTCCTCCTCCTCCTCCTGGATTGTGAAATCCCCGGTTGTGAGGAAGTGAAAACATCATTTCAAACGGAATTACTTAGCCCTGGGAGGGCAAGAAGTCCGTTTGGAGTGGCCTCGGTCTGATTTTCTAACGGCATAAGCTCTGAAGGAAAAAAATCTCAGGTGGCGTGTGGGGAGCGAGGGAGAGAAAGAAAAAAGATTTCTTAGAACGCTGAAGAGCATTTCGGCAGGTTCTGGCTTCTGCATACTTGAAAACTTTGCAAGAAAGTAGCAAATCTATCGTGCCTGCCTTCCATGTCTGAATTCATTTTTTCTTTTCTCAAATTCAAGAACTGGACTTTTTTTTTTTCCTTTTTCCTTTTTGAGTTTTGAAACCAGAAGAGTCACCATTCCACCACACCCCACAACAATGGCCCTTGCTCTCTGGATGCCAAATGTTCCGAGCAGGACAGAAGCCAAAGGCAGGCACTTTTAAAAGGCCCCCTTCGCCGCACAACCCCCCCACCTCTGTGTCTCTCTGTCCTCCATTGCACAACTCCCCTCCCCAACACACACGCTGGAAGAGCCCAGCCATTTTCCACCAGCTGTGGATGTTATTTTTAAAAGGGGAGCTGGAACTTGTGTGAATGCATTGGGTCCCCCAGGGGATGGTATATATTTATATAGATCCCCGCCCTGTCTCTACCCCCATCCTCCACTGTGCACAGGTTTCATTCCAGCGTTTTCTGGGCCCACAGTAGGATGAGTTTATCCTGGCCAGGGGCTGGATCCTGACCTGCTTCTGAGAGCATGCGTGCCAAGGAACTGTCTTGCACTGAAGGTCCAGCGGTGCCCCAGCTCCACTGGGACCGACTTTTTGAACCCCTTTCCCCTCTGTGCGTCCCATGGTTCCTCCCTAAAATGAATCGCTTTTGTAGGGACTTTTGCCTCGGGTTGTGGCCTGAGAGGAGGGGGGCCAGCTTAGCGGGAATTCTTAACATTGGTTCCCCGAGCCCTTGAAACTGTGTGCAAAATCTTGGGAATGTGAGCGTTTTGGGGGGGGCTAGGGGTCAGTCAGATTCTTGGGAGGGTCCTGACTCAAGTGAGGTTGAGGAAGCGACCGTTTAGAGGAGAGATCCTCCCGCGTTTGCAGGCGAGGTGCAGGACTCTGCCTTTCCAACAAGTATTCTGGTCATTCCAGGCTGCAGGTCGGGAGAGCTGAGCTTTGAGAACCAGGCCTGGTGCATCCAGCAGGCGGGGATCTCTGGCGCTCTCCTTGTTTCCCCGGGCAGCCCCTGGGCCCCTGCACCTAGCACCGTGCCTGGCCCTGTCCTACGGGGGCTGGGGACAATTAGCACTGCTTTCCGGCCTTCTCCTGGGGCTCGCTGGCTGGACTGCAGTGAGCCTGGGTCTCATCTCGGTGTCCCTTCTCGTCCCCTGGCCGCACAGGTGAAGGTGTGGTTCCAGAACCGGCGCATGAAGTGGCGGCACTCGAAGGAGGCCCAGGCCCAGAAGGACAAAGACAAGGAGGCAGAGGAGAAGCCGGCAGGCGGAGCCCCGGCTGCGGACGGCGAGCAGGAGGAGCAGAGCCCCAGCCGCTCCGAGGGGGAGGCCGAGAGCGACAGCAGCGACTCTGAGTCTCTGGACATGGCCCCCAGCGACACTGAGCGGACTGAAGGGGCCGAGCGGTCTCCACACCAAGCCACGGTCATCAAGACCTCGGTCGCCGGTGCAGTCCTCTCCACCAGCAGCGGCGGTGGCGGAGTCAGCGGCGGCGGTGGCGGAGTCAGCGGCAGTTTCGCCTTCAGCGGCCATGGCGGCAGCAGTACCAGCGCGGGCAGCCTTGGCGGCGTGGCCCTGGAGCTACTCCCGGCGCCCCAGCCCACCCTCAGCAGCGCCCCCAAAAGCCCCGAGCCCGCTCAGCCACCGCTGGGAGGCCTATAGACGGGAAGAGGGCAGAGAGGACTGCGTCCTGCCTGCAGACGCCTAGCCTTCCAAGCGTCGTGGTTGGATCTCGTGCCTACTTTATAGAGGTGGCCTGGACACGGCCAGAGATGCAGCGGTGGAGCCTCCTTCCCCACGTTCGCATCTCGCCCCTCGCTGGCCGCCTGCTACAGCCCACACTTCAGTGGCTGGGGGAGAGGCAGCGCCCCAGCGGGACACTTCTCCTGGATACAGGCAGCTCACACTGTGACCAGTGACTCCGCAGTTCCTTCCCGCTCTAGGGGTCGCCAAGACCTGCTGCACTTAGGATGCCACAAATGTGTAAATAAAACGTTTACTACGGTTTGTAAAGAAAGGCTGGTTGGCTGGATGGGGCACTGTGGTCAGGGGTCTCTGTGCCGGACTTTAGCCCCAGGCCGCTGCGAGTCACAGCTGCTGGAGGTGGAGACTGGAGATTTGGGGGTACGTGCTGCAGCCTCAGAGCCACCCTGTTGCAGAGATGGGGCTTGGGGCTTAACTGTCCCACCAGTTCAGAGTGATCTTTGCCTGCAGCCCACCAGTCGCCACTGAACTTGTGCTAGGTGACCCTGAGTGTGTGGCCTGAGAGCTAAGTTGGCCAGAAAAGCTGTTAGGGGCTCCGTGGGAAAGCCACGGAGAGTCAGGCCCCCTGAGTGGGCTTGCAGGCTTTCTGCAGATGCACAGTTGGGATGGACAAGACGGTGGTGCCGACGAGGGCTAGTGGGGCCACAGCCTACCCTCCCAAGGTGGCCGCTCAGTGCCGTGCCTGGAACTGTGGGGCAATTCCAGTGCAACCGGCCCTCGCTCACATCTGGTCTGTAGTGTCCTGGAGGAAAGAAAGGACAAGCAGACCACAGTGGTTAGAGCTAGAAGGCCAGGCCTGGGATGGCTTTAAAACAGCCCAAACAGTTGCAAGGCAGGTAGGTGCCTTGTTCAAGGTCATACTGAGGCCAAGCTGCAGACCAGAACTTGGACCCTCCTGGCTTCCATTTGGCTAGCGATGGGTCTATGAAACTTCACCTGCACCCCAATCCACACACACCCATCTTCCTTCAGAATTGGGCTACTGCGGGCACCCGGTGGATTAAGCTCTTCCTTCACCCCCTACCCCCCAGAGCTGCCATGATCTGAGAGGGGAGTTGCCCCATCCCACTGCAGGCGGAATAGAGCAAACCCATTTTATCTCCATGCTGCTACTGGAATGGGCCAGTTGAAAAAACTTTTGAAAGCTTGAAGAAAGAGTCAAAGCTCCCTACAAGACTGGTCCTCCCCTGGCTCACTTTCCCTCGAAACTACACAATGTCTGGAGTTTGTAAAAACATTCTTTTGGGAGATTTTAAAACAAACATGTTGCTTACAGACTTGATCACCCGGGTCTACTTGGCACAGAGCTGTGAGAAGGGTGGGAGGCATCTGATAGGCCAACCGTCCATTGGGGGAGCTGGTTCTCACGGAGAGCAGTCCTGTGCCCGACACGCTGAGGTCCGGGAGCCTACGACCGACCACCCTTGTCCCCTGGCCAGAGTGGGAAAGCCTCCCTGGTCTGGCTCAGCTCCTTCTCCACTTTGACCTATTAGCTCGAGCACATTTTAAAAAACCTTCCTTACAGATTTATAGACCCAAGGGCAGCGCAGACACCCCAGATTTATTCTTCTCTGGTTGGGCGCATCAGACACCTGGGCAAGTCCCAGAGCACAGCGCAGGGATGCAGCGCTGACCATTTCCTACCCTAGTGCACCCCGCCCCCCCCCCCACAACCCATCAAGCTGAATGTACACAGTGGGGAGGGGAGACCAGGGTGGTCCGAGGGCGGAAAGGGAAAAGAAAGGTGGAGGCCTCAGGAGGGACCGAAAGTTAAAGGGGAACGTGAGCCAGCTGTTATCCCTAAATGTGCCACAAAGGAGGGGTGGGCGGCCCCCCACCTGCTCCAAGTGCCAGCCCCCAAAGGAGGGGTGGCGGGGTGGGGGGAAGTTACTTCATTCCTTGACTCTGCAGGCTCTGCTGCATGAGCTACTAAATTCTCTCTCTATCCCAATTTTGCCTTTATCACCAAAATCCGTTTCCTTACACACCCCAAATGTTGAGATTCTGGAACCAGAACTTCCCAAGAACATCGAATTACAGGCACTTGAATCCAGTTCTGGCCTTAAGGAAAAGAAGAGGGCCACATTATGTACCTGGCTGAGGAGCAGGGCACAGGAAGGGATATGGGAGAGGCTGGTACAGCAACTACCCTGACCTTGCATGTGACTGCTGCCCCCGAGAACCGCCCGCCCTCCCGCCCATTTCTCCGCCGGGGCCCAGGCTTCAGAAGTGAAGGAAGTCATCCCCGGGCACCGTAATGATGTGATTTCAGGTAAAATTGGACCTTATCTCTGCCAGGATCAGCCAGACCAGAGAGCGCGGTGAGCTGGGCGGAGGTCCATAAAGGTGGGGGTCGGGGTCCTCCCGGACAGTTCCTAGGAGGCACCCCTTCCTCCACACCCCCCACTTTCATTCCTGAACCCTTTCCCAGTGAAACTAGCCGGCTTTATCCTGGGCAGTGGAGTTCTCCCGCATTGTCATGGGGGGGGGTGCGGGGGTGCGGGGGTGCGGGGCAGGGGCCGAGCATCACAAGACCCAGAGAAGTTTAAAGTTCAGTTGGAAGAACAGCAGTCACGGAGGGGCCGGGAGGAAAGCGGCATTTCGGGGCGGGTCACGCCAGCCCGGGACTGCCGAAATCTTCCTGACGGCGCTCGACACTAGTAGGAGCAGCTGGGAAAGCTAGATATTCTAGAGCTAAGGACCAGATCTCCCCTGCACGGAAGGGAAGGCTGAGTGCCGAGGGTCGGCGGACGCCAGGCCCGCCGAATCGCGAAGGGCTGGGGCTTGCGGGCCTCGGGTGCAAGCGGGCCTCCCAGCAGACCAAAGACGTGGCCCCCGCCGCATCCCCGCTGCGCCCAGGCCTCACCCTTTCCTAGAAGCAGTAATAACTCTTTGCTTGGAACAGAGCTGTGCCCCAGCATCCGCAGCAGCCTTCGCGGCGCCAAGCCCCAGAGCAAGGTAGCAGGACGCAGCTGGAGGGGCGGCCACCAGTGCGCACCTCTCTGGGAAGGGCGAGGCGGGTCTAACACTGCGCCCCGCATTGTGCGCACATGCGCACACGGGTGCACACGCAAACACCACGATCACACACATACCCACGGAGGCACACAGAGCCCAGACTCAGACATCTGAGAGTCTCCCAGAGATTTCAGGTTCTTGTGGATAAAACCCGCCGCCTTACTCTGCCCGTGTGCGTGAGCGGGGCGCTCGCCTAGCAGTTTGCTCGCCCTGCGCCAAGCTTCTCAGACCAAACCACTGAAGCCGGAGCCGCGTCCTCCTCGCTGGGTCCACCTCAGCCGACAGCGGGCGGGGATCTCGATCCCCAAACTGCCTGGGAGCGGGTCGAAGTGGCTGCACTGTCCCCGCTGGAAGCCAAAGCTGCCTGGCCCTTCAGCGCTTCAAGGAGAGGCTGTGACCCCCATAACAACTTAGGAAAACGCCCCGGTCTCCCATCCCCACCCTGTAAGTCCTCCTGTGTGTGTGTGTGGGGGGGGCAGTTACTCAGACTCCAAGGGTCACAGATCCCTCTGACCCCCTCAGCCCCTCGGAGGGGACTAATGGTATGGGAAGTGCCATGCTGGCTAGGGTTCTATTTTACTTCATTTTCGACGGGAACAAGCAGGTGAGTTTTGAGTGCCTGGCCTGCTGGTCCCTCCTGTTCTACGCACCTGAAGCCATTATCACTGGAAAGTGACCCCAGGTTCCCCTGCTCAAGCTCAATGGTACAGTCTTAGCTCCAGGAGCCTTGGGGTCCCCAGGGCCTGGCAGGGACCAGAATCTGCAGCTGGGGATTTTCTGGGGGCATTTTAGACTTGAGCTGTAACCTGTTCCTGGATGCGATCCCACCTCCTCTGAAGCTCTTGTTTGCTGGACCGACTGTAGCAAGAAACAGGGAAGAGGGCCAGAGGCTAAGGTCAAGGCACCCTCCTCCCATCTTCACCCCTACCCCTCCCCACCCCCCAGGCCCTTCCTTTAAGGAGCTTTGTCCTCTTTTAAGGAGGAGGAGACGGCAGAGAGACTGTGGGCCAAGAGCTCCCCACACGACCCAGTCACACTGATTTAAAGATGGCCCAGAAGACCCCAAAACATACAGGGTCCTCTCATTCCCCCTTTTTGGGGAAGGGTTCTGGGGAAGGGTTTGCATTCAGGCGTTGGGGCTGGGGAGATGCCCCTTGATTTAATTGCTCACACCCGCCTCTGGTTCAAAGCCACACCTTCAAGGTTGCGGCGGGACTGGTGGGCATCCCACAGACAAATGAGCCGCCTTCTCTGGGTCTCCCTCTCACACACAAGAGCGTTAAAACCTGCAGTGCACACCCCCTGCAGCGGCTTTGCACATCCTGACTGCTGGCATGGGGGGGTGCACTTTCTAATCATTTCCCTGCCCCACCCCTGAGTTCCAACAGAACAAGGCTCTGTCTGAACAGGCAAGCTTGAAGAATTCCTGGCCCTTGGGTCCCTTAGCTGCCCTGCACTCTGTCACTTTAGGAGGGAAAGCTAGGTGTCCCAGAAGATGCAGTTGCTTCCTCCTTTATTTCTGGGGTGAGGCAACCAAGGCCAGGCTGGAAGTCATGACAGTTGCTCAATGTCCACCCCCCACCCCCCCACCCCCCACCCTCCACCATCCCCGTGAGTGAGCACAGAGGAGTTAGTGTCTATCGAGATCCAAAGGAGACGCATATTCCTCCTGGGCCCGTTTGACCAACCGAATTCCGATCCAAATCATCAAAGCTACATGGCTTTTTGAGAAGACCGTGCTTCCTTTTTCCCCGGGTGGGCCCTGAGGGGTGTCCCTGGCACAGTCACAGGCGCTGGGTCTTCCTCTGGTTGTCACCCAGCCTCCAGGCTGTGCTGCCTCTCTGGCAGGTTTGGCTTTGCTAACACTGTCCAGGCAACGCCTGCTCGTAGGATTTGTCCTCCCTGCTTTTCCACTGTCCTCTGGTCGCTGACACTTGGGATTCAGGTGCAAGGCCTGGCGGTGCCTGTGGGCAGCAGCTGTGCTGGCTCGTTCTCTCTCCCTCTGCCCTTGGACCCAGCCCCCGCCCCCAGCCTTGGCAGACTGAGCCTCCCTCTTTTTCCAAGTGCACCCTTTCAGTAGAGGAGGAACAGGAGGCCACCTGCTGCACCCTGAGAGCTTGGGCTTCGGTGACCCCAAAGACTCTCTGGGGGCTGGGTATGGAAAGAGGTCCACTGAGCACTGAATGGTGTGCGCCAGAAGGCGCTAGTTAGGGGAACCCAAACTCGCCCAGGAAGGAGTCGTTCACTCACCAATTACTAACCCCCTCCCTCCCTTGTGACCTTGGGAAATTGGTCTAACCACTTGGCTTCAGTTTCCTCACCTGTATGACAGGAGCTAAACAAAGTTACCTAACCTATAAATTACTGTGAGGATTAACTGCATTTACAAAGGTGACCCGAGAACCACAGGTTACATGCAACCAGCGCCATGGGCTTCCATGTCACTGCCTTGCTTCATCCATTCGTTTAGTCATCGCCATATTTATCGAGGCCCTTGTCCGCGTACGCACGGTTGGGGAAAGAAGAGAAGCAGAATGCAAGACGGTCTTCACTCTCCAAGAAATCAAATCCTTAGAGGGAGGCTCCTGAATGCAATGCACTAACAGTGTGCCCAGGGGAAACCCTTCAACGAGTGCTCGGACTGTGATGACAGGGGTGTCCACGTGGTCCCACGGACTCCTGAGGACACCCACTGGCACGTCTGCCCGTTGGTCCTACTGACGCTGAGTGCAGCAACTCCCTCCCCACACACAGCAGGTACCCAATACAACGCTAGCGAATGTGGTTGAGAGTTTTCCTTGGGGGATGGGAGGTGAAGAGGTTAGAGTTTTTTGGGCACTTTGGGTTTGAGGAAAGTTTCAGCCAGTGTCTCGGGTCCAAGAAGGGAAAAATACGTGACCGCAGTTGGGATCGTCTCAGGACAAGTGGCCCTTTGGGAGTTCTATTAAGTTCTTAACCAATCTCATAGAAGGAGGACCTCAAAAAACAGAAACACAACACCATTGTCCCTTCACTGAGGAAAGGCACCCCCTGTTTCTCGAGGACAGGGTTGGGATGGGCTCGTGCCTGGAGAAATCCTGGCACCACCACGGGGCGTGGCCTGGAGAAGGTGTTTCAGCAGGTGTTTACTGAGTAACAGATGTCACCGTTGTTGTGGCCATTGTGGTTGTAGTCTCAGGGGGTCCTCAGAAGCGATCTGGTCACTTGGTTAGCATTGTAAACACAGGGGGAAGCTGAGGGACAAGGCCCGGAGCCATCCAGGGG